AACCACGAACACCTATGAGACTTACTTTATATTACGTTAGATAACATATGAAAAACAAAGTGTGTAACAGAGGCCTGACTTGCAGCCAACGAAGCAGAACCAAAGGAACAAAATCATTCAGTTCCGCGTCATTTTCGTTGCAAACATTTCGTATTTTTATCCGACGAGTTCGACGTCAATTATGTGTTCTTCGCTTTTCTATTTGATAAAGTAGGAAAATCTGACGGTAAAAGAGTTAAACTGAAAATCTTGTGGAAATAGTTCTGTGACTTTTGTGAACAGAATCTGATATGCTTGACGTATAGTCGTCGCACTAGTTGCTTGTTGAATATCTTTCAATGGTCTCTCTTTACCACACGCAATCGCAACCATATAAATGCAGGCACTAACAATGGCTGTTGTGATCGACTTTGTATATTACATAGTTCTGATGCTTTTTCTGCAATATGCTGAGCAGTTTTCCGGATTAACCTTTCCTCCTTAAATCCAAGATGATTACAAAAACGTGGCACAAGACTTTTCAAATCCGTTGCCTCGGGTGTTTTTGATAAAGTTTCAATTAGCTGTTTATAACAACGTGCAATCTCTGTCGTTGATGAATGTGAAATTGCACATATTTCTAAAATATATCATAGTGAATATCACAAGATAGTTTCCCTAGATTTGGTTGTATGGGTTACTTGGTCAAATTGATACCGAAAAACACACTAGAATGCTTAACTTCTCTAATGTGAGATGAGATTATCACACAAGTCAATCAAAGTGCTTAAGATCGTAGACCTTGTTGATCTTGAGCTGGCGAGATACAGTTTTCGCATATGTTACGGATAATGAAGTTTAGATGGATCAGTCAGATCGACCTACTTTGAGAGTGCTCGCGCCTTTGTCTGAGTACAACTCAAAAAAAGGAACCATTTCGAGGTACTCTTTCTTTTGTTGACATTTGTTCACTTCTATATTTCCCTTTTCAAAATTTGTCACGTGCACTAGCATATTGTCGTTTCGAACAACAATTGTCTTCATAATCAGACATCTACCGGCTATTCTTGATTTCGTGGGGCTGTAGAAAAAACGTGTAGTATAAAAAAGTAGTATAAAAAACGCACAATAGATCCTGGTGTTCTTTGTTGGAATGTTGAAACAACACATTTACAAAATTTCTTTGAAAACAATATTTTTAGTTTTATTCCTTTCACTGTTTTTTTTCTTCTTTGATGACTTGTACCTTGATAGACGTTAGTGAGTGAGCTCTTGAAAAAGCAACGTACAATTGTCCATGGCTGAAAACTGGTTGTGGTAGAAGTAGTCCCAATCGATCAAATATCTGTCCTTGTGATTTGTTGATTGTGATAGCAAATGAAAGTCCAACAGGAAACTGATGTCTACGTAATATAAAGGGCAAAAATTATCAGACGGTGTCAAAGTAATTCTTGGTATTAGAACTCGGTTTTCTTTGTTAGACCCAGTTGCCACTTCAAAATCAATCGTGTGAGTTTGTAAACGTCGCACAATCAGCCGAATTCCCATTCCATAGGTCTTGAATAACATCCAAATTCCAAAGAAGCATAAAAATTGCACCGATCTTTAGTTTAAGTTTATGAGAAGGCATTCCTGATGGTGTGAGACTGTTCAAAAACTCTGTCGGATAATTAGTTACGTCATCCCCATCATCACACTCTGTTTCATCCACACTTGTGTACAGTTTTTCTCTGCCTGGTAGCCGTTGAAGAAGTTCATTTACCAGGAGAGAATGTTCATTTTTGGACAGAGAATTGTTCTGTTGCATAGTGCTGGAACATCTTCTATCGAAATGTGTTGGCGAAAATATCTCGTCGACCAAATTACTGTCTAATATGCAACAGCTAGGCAATTCGATTTCGTAATTGTCGTTTGATGGTAATTCACCATTGTCAATTTTAATCGGCCACTTTGAGAACTCTTCTTCATCTGGTCCTATTCTCATGTTCTGGTGTAGATGCACGCTCTTGAAGGAAGGCCAGAGGTCAGAACGTTTGAAACTTGCTGCAATTAATTCTGATCTGTTTGGGAATCGAATCACTGGAAGAACTTGACGGAAATCTCCACCGAGTATTATACTTTTTCCTCCGAAAGATGCATTGATGTTCATTATGTCTCTCAAAAAAACATCAACTGCTTGCAGAGCGTACGACAGAGCCACCGCCGCTCGTCCCAAATGAAAACGTCTGTCTTTCTAATTGCTTCAGGTTCCTTGCTGTTTGGCCGAATACTGAATGTAGACGTTTCCAAGATAGATACAGGAAGCTTGAAACGACTATGTATAGTTCTTCCTTCAGGCAGTAAATTTGCGGCAATCCCTGTCCATGCAACTGACATAACATAGACGTCTTTTCCCATTAATAAATGGTACAGGGTGTTATAAAGGTGGGTTTTGCCTGTACCTCCAGGCTGATTTATAAAGAAACATGAGCCAGCGGTGGTTGATTGTTTATGATAAGCTGCAAGAATCTGATCCGCTGCTAAACGCTAATCTTGATTCAATGTTATACATCAAAACACTAAAGAGATATCTAAAAAACAATTATTTTTCTTCTATTTTTAAATGAATAATAGCAATAAATAATAAAAATTTGCTATTAATGCGCAATCCCACTACGGGTTTGTGGTGAATAAACGTGGGTATATCCTGAAAAGAGTTTCTGAGCGCTGATAATGTATGGGCGCATCAGTGCTTCGTATTGTCTGAAGGCTTCCGTATGATCTTGATGGCGACCAATCTCACCAGCAAGGATGTAAGCGCCAACAAAAGTCAGACTTGTTCCCATATCACTGATTGGCGAGGCACAATAACCTGCGTCACCCACTAAGGACACTCGTCCCTGTGACCATTGATCCATTTTGACCTGCCCGATAGCTTCAAAATAAAAATCATTTGAATTCATCAGCCCACTCAGTATTCGAGGTGTTTCGAACCCTGCGTCTGCGAATATCTTTTGTAGAAGCTCTTTTTGCATGTCTGGATCGAGATCTTCGTAGCCACGTTGAGAGCTGCGAAATGACAAGAATGCACGCGTTGTGCCCTGATTATCTGGGCGGATCAGCACCGTTCGTCCTTTTGGGGCATTGTACCAACGTGCCCAAGTGCCATCTGACTGACTGTAGGGAATAGTAAAATATGCAGTATACATATTTAAATAATGGATTGGCGACTTATCACTGAAGACGAGACGTCGAGTTTTTGATCGTATGCCATCAGCACCAATTACCAAGTCGAACTCGCGAATATTGCCACTAGCAAACGTAACCTGCACATGATTTCCTTGATCGTTAAGGGATGAAGGATGGTCGCGAAAGATATACTCGGTATGATTACGGCTCTTCTCGTAAAGTATATTCACCAGCTCACCACGAAGTATTTCAATGTCGGCGACGAACCCTCACCCACCAAAACTATCCACGCCGAATGCGACTCGTGTGCGCCCTGCGCTATCGACAAAGGCCAGTCCGTCCTCTCTAGCGATCTTTTCGCGAATTGTGCTGTCGACGCCCATGCGCCGTACAACTTCTCTCCCTGCACCGCGTACGTCGATAGTTTGACCAGCTGTACGTAGTTGCGGCGCACGCTCAACAACCACGGGCTGCACACCAAAACGATGAAGGAAATATGCTAGGACAGGACCGGCAACGCCTGCGCCCACAACAAGAACACTGCGGTTTCCCAAGGAATTCTTTGAAGAATATGACAATGAACGTGACACCACGGAACGCATTTTTTCGCTAATAACAGTCTCTCAAAGTGAAACATAGATTACAAATTCGTTTCTTTGATATCAACGCTCCTGTATACTCTTTAAAAAAGGTGAGGAACATAAGAAACGTGTGGGCCAATCGTCGTCGATAGGAATCTAAAACAGGGGACATTCAGGTACTTTTTCTATTGAAGTACCTTAAAGTACCATAGTGAAGGAATGTCTATATGCAAAACAGGAGCAAAACTGTAGTAGTATTCGGAGATTTTAATAGAAAATATACTGATGCATAGATAATAATATAAAACAAAAGTTATTATGCTTGTTTTTATCCATATAATCTCCACAAAACTATAAAATTGAGTCGATTGAAAGTTTTGATTTGACACCCGATATATTACATACTCACCGGACACAGTTATCTTCTATCCGGCTGTAACACTCATTTCCTGACAACATTGTATGTCATGTGTTTCATGTTATCGACGAGTTTCAACAAGCATGATATTTTTTGCAATTAATAAAACATGCGAGTTTTACTTATTAAACTATTGGGAAACTCAATCGGTCGTTCATCAATACGTCACGTATATTATTCATTAATTCTGAGCGTCTATTAGTTTCTATATGTTTCAATAATATAGATCTAGAGTAAACTCTGACACGTTGAACTATTTTCTCATTTTAAGACTCGTCGCGGTCATTTACTTCACAGTGATCATTCGTAAACGAGAAACATATTTCTTTTACATTTTCGAATAATCCAGGATTCGTTTCTAGATATTCGGACACAGATCAGGCATACCGAATCATAGGCTATATTTTCGAAGAAAGCTGGTTATGTATAAGAGAATTTAGTTTAATTATATTATTTCGCTCACTAATGTTTTTGACTGCGTAAAATAAACGTTAGATCAAGAAACGAAAACGAGAAAAGACCAATCGCTTAGGCAAAAATGTAAAAATTCGGTTATTCATTCATAGCGGCGGTACCAGGAATTGTAGCCAAGGTGGGCTCAGCCCGACTGTACTCGGAAAGGAAAAAGGGTAGTGTTTATTTAGAAAGAGGAAGTGTAAACGAAAGAAATATCTGGTTGGTTCGTTAATGAAACCAATTGAAAAGCATGCAAATCCTTCTCTACACTTAAAAAGGACATACTGCGTGTCCTGCGAGAAAATGTGACTGTTTTTCAAAATTCTAAAAATTTTTCAGGGTGGGCTGAGAATGGTACCGCCACTATTCATTCAGTATAATAGCTAAAAGTCTGAATCTTTTGGAATTATTAGTAGATAACTAGGCAGCGATGAGGAAAAGTTAGAGCTCTACAACAGCTCTCTCTCGCTGTTTTGACTGAGTTATAAAAAATTTAATGTTAGACATCGCCCTCCTCGTCGAAACGAAAAAATTCAATAACTCTTGAAGGAACGGGGTGGGGCACGTATGGTTGTTCGGTCGTTAACTGCTGCAATGATTTCTAACGGATGGTCCAGAATAAATCGGTTACTTCGTATTTTGCTTAAGAGAATTGAGAGATTTATATATTAACTGTCTTTGAACGTTTCATTAAATCTGGATTAACCAAGTGTTAATACAGTTTAGAAACTAGTACACACAATAGAAAGTTATACTTTTTCTTTAAGAATAATAGTGTTACCATTTCCTACTTTTTTTTACCAAAAAAGAATAAGTTTGAGAAGTTCCAACACAATAGTTTATTTGCTTTGTCCTATCGTGTCAAATGAAAAAAAAAGCAAGGAAGTTAATAGTGAAGTTAAAACCTATACTAGAGAAGAAAAGAAAAATGGAAGCATTTATGTATAAGCCACATAATAATAATATTATAAGAAGAAAAAAAAATGGACTTTTTTCGACTTTGACCTGAAAGGGTTATTTTTTCAATAAAAAAGAAAAAAGACAAGATAGCACGTGGCATAGAAAATCGTTAGTTTTTTCGTTAATAAATATAGGATAAAGAACAAAAAATACGGCATTATTCCGAAATAAAATAGAAAAATCGTTTAAACGAATAAGTACGTTATGCGATATTAGTCATTTTTTTTTAAACAGAAATTTAAAGGATCCCGACGAAAATGCACAATGGATCTCGTATAGTATAAAAAACGCACAATAGATCCTGGTATTCTTTGTTGGACTTCTCGCTTTCATCTCTCGCTCTGCCTTTGATCTTATTCAAATTTTCGTATACGAGATCCATTAGGTACTTTCATCGGGATCTTTTCTGATTTTATCCTGTTTTCTTCCCTTTCTTTGTTATGTTATTAATCTGTTTTAATAACAAAAATAGTTTTCTCTTACATGTTTTGTTAAGTATCAGAATCATAAAGAAAGTTGAAACTGCATTAAACGTCTTGACGTATTTTTATTAATTTACGTTTTGTCTGTGAAAAAGTAGATCTTTCTTTTTTCTCTTTCTAGAGATTATTTAAGAATAGTGAGATTGAATCAGACAGTTACGATTACTTAACACTTATAGACTCTAGAAACCTGTTACTTTCTTATTTTTAAAAGTTTTTTGTTTAACATCAGTCATAAAGATGATGAAACTGTGTGAGGAGTAGATGCTTTGTGTATCGAAGCATACAATGACATTCAACTCAAAAATAGATTTGGGCAACATATGCCTGATGTAGTTTTCTTTCATAATTTTTATTTCTACTCACATAAATTAAAATGAGTTTAACATGAAAGTTTAAAATTGTACTAAATAGATAGAGGTGTTCTTTCGTTTCTTTATACATCAAGGTAAAGTTAAGTTTTATTATTGTATAAAGGAAACAGAGTCTATAAATACTTGAAGAATGAGTGAACAGAACTTTTTTCTACGTTTCTTTTGACAAGACAATGCATCATTGTTCATTGTATGATGATGACATGTAGAATATGAAGCGTCCAAGGTCTATTATTGCATATTTTAGATCAAGAGTAAATATAAAAAATAAAAAAAAATGAAAAAAAAAGAATGAGAAAAAGAAATCGGTTTATTTGTTCATACCATCGTATTAGTCTAAACACTGACATATATGAAAGAATATATATTGAAAAACAAATAATCGTTTATAATAACATCTAAATAAATAAATTAAGAAGTAAGATTAGATATTTGAATTTTTTTTATAAGGGGTAATATTAATAAATGTATGTTTTTCCCTATAAATTGATATCTTTGCATCAAACTAAATCATTGATCTATTGGACTCTGTTGAAACAGTGTTCTATGATCGAAAAGAATTTATTTTTTTGAAATTTCAATCGTTAATATCTCTAGAGAAATAAAAAACGACAATTACCTTCGAGATTATTTAATAATCGAAGTTCGTTGAACTTTCTATGACCCTATCTATAATCAGTTATAAGTAATATCTGTTCATCTCCAATTCTATTTGGCCCTCGTAATTGAAAGAATATTTTATTAGGAGAAAAAATTCTATGGAATTATTGTTATGCAAAAAAGTTGACTAGTACTCGCATGTTGTGTGAGTCTAGTTTTAATAAGCGCGTCTGTTGAGAAGTTTATTAGTATTATTCAACAACTGTCGATTTGTCAACAATATTATCTCGATTTTTTCTTGTTGTTCAAAGATGAGTATAACATTTGTTCACTTTTTTCTTGCATTTAGCCATATGAATTTAAACATTCAGATTAAAATTATTTTTTGCTTTCGGTGATCGAATTTCATTGAATTTTTTTTCTTCTATTATTCTTTTTTCTTTCGTTTTTGTTATCATTATTATTTATTCCATCGCAATAACGTTCAATATATACAAAATTTGAAAGCTTAAGTGAAATACATATCGTACAAAAGAGAGAAAAAAACCCACAAGCATCGAGTATCTTACGGAAGAACATTTATATACATATCATAAGACGAATTGTAACTGAAAGTTTATATGTATACAAATACTGAGGAAATTACAAACTGAAGATTCATTGTATATAATTATTTACAGTGATCAGTAGAACAATATTTGTTTGAGGTTTCTTTTTTTTCGTTGTAGAAGATTGAATAGTTCGCATCTTCAATGAGAAAATTTTCTGCAAGTATTCTGCATGTTGATTACTTCTTATATTTTGTACAAATGATTAGATCTTTTATGTTTATAATGATTAGATGAGATTCTAAATATTAATTCATTTGTTCAATATCAAAATCATTTGATAAATATAGACATTTGACATTGATATATTTGAAAGATTCAGTCCCGTTTCGTCGACACTCACTCTCACACCGTCCCTTCCGCCTTTGAAATTCTGTGATGTATATTCTTTGAAGTATCCGATTTGTCGACGAAACGGGACGATACCATTTGAAATGAGCTTTAATTGAACATAATTATTTTGTATTTATTTCTATCAATGTTCACAACTACAATGTGAACATCGTTTTATTAAGGAAATTGTTCTAGTCTTTTTCAGATAATGGCTAACGTCGAAGAAGATTGCCGTTTCAAAGTCAGCTTACTTTTGTGGTTTAATTCAGTTTTTATAATGCCCTTTTAGTTCACTAAGAGATATATTAGATTTGGAGAAATTCTGCTTTATGCAGAACCGAATAATGATAAGAAAAGCCACTATTATACTCATCGGACATCTGCTAAGTAAGAATCTGGTATTTTTATTCGGTTGAATGAACAACTTGAGCATAGAGTGATGATAGTCAAGTGCGTGCAATGTATGTGTGTGTTTTTATTCTCTTATTGCATAATTGATTATACGTTCAGATCTAAGTATTAGATATCACATGATCATTCTGAAGTTTTGATATTATAGTGATTACATAAAAAAGAAAAAATGTTGTTCAGATTTTCTTTCTCCTTTTCTTGAATACATACAAATATCTTTAAACTTGACGGTTAATCACAAACATCGTGAACTAGAAAGATATTTGTCTAAAACACATTAACATAAGTCTACGAACGTGTATATTTATTTCAATCGAATATTGTTTTTGTTGTATGAACAATTTGATCACTTTAAAAAAAAGAATGTTTTTCTTCTTTC